CCCACCATTTCCTTTCTAAAGCTCAGGTTCTGACTGGAGCTGATAGAAAGAATTTGCCTTTCAACTTATTCTCCGTAAAGGGGCACATCTTGAAGCAATTACCTCCATTTTTTAAGTGTGGAACATGATCCAGCGAATTACTGACCAATGACAGAGGACTGCAGCCAGCCTGGAAATCTGAAACCAGAATGAAAGGATGGGCCATGGAAAGACATGAAAGGAAAAGTATGACCCTTTGCCCTTTGAAGTAAAAGGTCTGGGTCTTGCTGGGAAGCCTGGCTCATAAGTAGCACTGGGCAGAGAAGAGGTGCTTATAGTCAACTTGAGTTTTATTCTAGATTCAGTCTCTACTAACTGAATCATCTCTCTGAACCTCAGCTTTACCTATAAAAAGGGCTTAATATATCACTCCTCACTGTGGTCTAGAGACCTCCACATCAAATAAGATAAACTTGAAGAAACTAGTTATCTGTGCTTCATAAATATCCCAGAGGGAGTTTTAGAGACTATTTGGAAATGCCTACTTTCTTCACTCATGACTCAGTGTCTTGCCTCCTCAGACAATTTGTTCCCTGCTAAATCATGTCATGGTTCTCTTTAATATTCTCTTTGAGGCAGAAATAAATCCTTTATCAGCCAGGTACAAGGTCTGGGTCCTAAGCCCCCAACCCCCCTGCTCAGTGTTTTGACTTATATTGGTCATTAGTATGATAGTTTTTTTTTAAACAACTTGAATAATCTTACAACTCTGGGAGGTAGTAGAGTTGGGCAATGTAGACTCCATATTGTCCTTATTCTCTATAAATTAGAAGAACAGATTCTCTGACTTTTCTAAATCAATGGCTAGAGGTTAATCTACAGACACTCATGTCTACTGAGTCCCAACCCCCTACACTATCACTCTCCACAGCTCACCTAAAAGGCAGCCAAAACCATGATAATAACCCTAGAGCTCTGGGTCAAGTAGGAGGCTTGAAACAGACACTGGTGTCACCCAAGGTTTCCCAGAGCAAGGTAATGTGCTTGGAAAGAAAGAGATGTTTGCACCCTTTCTTCCTCCTTACTGTGCTCCCTCATCCCATCTTCATTTTCACATTGAACATCGTCTCTGTTCTTAATGTTGACTGTATGGATAAATGTCCAGTCTCTGAAAATTCTCCATGTGGCTGTCAGCCATGTAAAACCTCTGCTTTCTGGATACCAACAGCTTCTTCCCTAACATGATCACCGTCTGGAGAGGAGCTTATTGTGCAGGAACTGGCTGCACCCCAGTAGGCTCCAGGAACCTCCCATGGAGGCCATTTTAGAGAAAGTTACTAGGCATCTCAAATATACCAACAGAATTAGGGAGCCCTCCTGGTGACACAGAGATTTTTTTCCAGCACATTCTGAGCCATCATGAGGAGGTCTCTTGCTCACTCCTATATTTCTGGAATACAACTCTGGGCCCTGGGTTCTGATGGCCTCAGTGTACAGCTGGACAATACCAGGTCAGCTTAAGGACCAGAGAGGCACTGAGGTCTCTTTACCCAGGCCCACACTATCTCATACCAATGAAAACACACTCAGACACTTTCCTTCTTACAGATCCATTTGCACATTTCCTAGGAAATGTATTTTCTTAATGGGAAACTCTTCCTGAAAAGTCCAGGCATACTGGATGAGTCTGAGACCATAATCTGAGAAGAGGCTTCCACAGGCAGTCCTGAAAGGTACTCACAGCTGCTCTCTTTCCACTCTGCATCTGGCAGAGCACTGTTGATGAGAGAGACTACCCTTAAATGTGCCCCTGTGCTCTTTCTGTTTGGTTCTGATTTGCTTATCTAACAGCAAGAGAAGTCTTATACTTTCTCCTGGAGGCTGGATGAGTTCATGTGCCAATAGTAAGCTAAGAGCTGAGAGATCAGCAATGAACAGGGGCTGGGTTGGGCCAGGGTAAGGAGTGCTTGGCTCATGACTTGAGTAGGGGACAAACTCCTGAAATAAAGCTAACATTGGTCAGGAGAATATCTGTAAGGAGAGAAACTCAATGGACTTTTGGGAGCCTAACTAAGCAGGGGGTTTGGGCTATGCTCATTGGATTTGGGTTTCCTTAAGTCCTCTAATGCTATTCTAGTCAGTGGAAGGGGCAAGGTCTAGAGCTAGTATTGCATATTGTAGGTTTTTAGGTCAAATTTGACCTACAGCCATATCCTCTGTAATTCACACAGTAATTTTTAAAATTTGTGTTAGTTGCCAATATTTTAACAATTGTTATCTTTAAGTCTTTAATTCTGAATTACTACCTTCTTATGAAAAATGAATTATCTAGCACTACTGAGCCTACATAGGAAGTCAACTGGAGTTGAATAGCAGCTGCTGCCTTTAGGCACGATGCATACAGTTTTGTGAGGTTATCAGGAGCAGCATAACAGAACACCCAGGGGAAGTACTGGGTCTACAGGTGGAGCCAGGGAAAGGCTCACATTGAGCACAGTAGGCCAGGCTTGGCTCAGGAAAGGAATGGTCTCTTAGCTGACAGAAAGAGGCAACTGTTTTCATCCATACTCTGCCTCCAGGACATGAGTCATTCTTGCTCCTACTGCCAGAAGCCAAGAGCCCTGCAGCCCATAGTATCTCACCCAACTAGGCAAGTCTCTGCCTGCCCCCAGTTCAGAGGAAATGTACATACTCTAAGCTATAGATGGCAATCCGTCAGCACTATAAGAATCAAGTGTCTTTAGAAATGGCATTGAGCTTATTTCAGGAAAGCAACAGCATACACATTGAATGTGAGATTTGGAGCTTGGAACTCAAAGATTTGAAGCTCTGACACTACCAAACACCCAAGTGGGAGCTAAGGCTCAAATGTGTCCCATGATCTTAACTGACAATTTTCAAGGAATTTTACCCTTGAATGATTGAGAGAACACAGTGAAAGTTATGGGCACAAAAAAGAACTTGGTCAAGTTTAGGAAAATCTTTAAAACCTTATTTAAAATAATGAGATATAATTCTCTAAAATATAATAGGTAATGACAGCACCTCTATAGCACACACAAACCAATGCCTGATATCTCATTCACAGCACCTAAGAAAGATTTAGAATAAACAGAATACAAAGAGTAATTGAGTTTAAGACTTTTAAAAGTTTAAAATGTCATGCATGGGATAATGCTGAAGGACAAGGCAGCCTGTCCCCACTTGGTACTGGGCACCTCCATCAGACTCCTTGGCACAGAGACTTAGAGCAGAAAAATGCCATTGAGAGATGTGGAGGAGTACGGAAGAGAAGTTAGGGCAGAAAGGCAGATAACTCAGGCACTACAATGCAGCCATTCTCTGACCTCCCATTATGTGGTTACTGCCAGGAACCATCTTCCTGAAACATCAACCCTGTGACATTTTCACATTCAAATTTTCATGGTTTCTTTTGGATTGTTTACAGCATTCTATCATCTTCCTTCCTTGTTTTTCCACCTCACAACCACACCTTCTGCAGACTTAAAAACATAATCTAGTAGGTTGTTTTATCCAGCCTTTGTGAAAGTGCTTTCCTGTCATTTGAGATTTTTTCCATCAGAATATTTTCTTTCCTGGTCTTCAAAAGAAAGATTCAATTAAAAACACAGATACCTGTTGCTACTCACAATTTTTTGAGACTACCATGAGCAAGAGAAATGCATACAATCTAAATAGAAACTCAAATGGAGCCAAGGATAGGGTAACTTATTAATCAGTAATGAAAAGATAAACTAACAACATCTGAGCCATTAGAAATAGTTTTTATGAAGGCATATGCATAAGAATACTGACTTACTCCCTCCCCTTAAGATCTTCAAGTGCACTCAAACAAAACAAACAAACATTGACACTAAGAAGTTTAAGACCAAAGATAAAATGCAAGGCCTGTGTTCATTACTATACTGTCAAGAAATATTTGAACTGTAGGCCAATCATAACAATAAAAAGAAAAGAAGAAGCTGTGGGGGAAAGATTGTAAAGTTATCTAATTTGAATCTATTCATTTTAAAGGAATGATTTTTGCTCCTTAAATAATTGGTGAGAATCTTTCATGTGCCAACTACCATACTGGGGCTACAAAGCAGACATACTTAAACTTCAGGCAGGGATTAATTTTCAAAATAACTGAAAATGCAAGAATGATTTAAGTTAAGGAACTGTACTAATAATAGGTTGAATAAAAAACCTAATTAGCTTCTCAACAGATTCTAAGTGGACTTCGGATAAAAAAAATCAAAAATCTGTAATAATTGCAGCTCATTATTTAAAATAAAACTATTCTGGAGACAAAGAATGCTTAATTCAATTATGATACTTTAACTTTAAAAAATTATTATAAGTGTTTAATAAAGATGACTACCCTGAAAATTTTAGAATGAAAAAGAGTCACTATATGATAGTAAGCAAATAAATACCTAAGGACTAAATTGTATCTCTGTGTGACTACAGCTTTGTAAATTATGTGTACACATCATGACAACCACCAAAAAGGAACAAGGAAAGAACATTATTTGAAATGTAGGGGAAAAGCTAAATATTGCAGGCTTTTGTTTTGCATTTTAATGTCTATTAAACTATATCAAGATATTTATATGATAATTTTTATCAAACAAAACTACACAGAATGAGAGGGAAAAGAGTGAGAGGAGGAAAGGGGGCAGAAAAACAGGTGATAAATTGACTCTCTAAAACCCCAGATGCCATGCATCAGCAGACTATGGTTCTTGTGATAAGATAACAGCCAACAAGGCTCACTGCACCAGGCTGGAGAAAGCGCTGCCTAGGAATCTGTCTAACCAGCTCAACAGGTTAGACATCTCATGCCAGCCCTTCCCCGCCCTCAACTCAGGCTGGTTTCACCTGCTGTCTAAACACTGCACATTGAGCAGCGATTCTCACTCCAGACAGGATGGCAAAGTAAGCAGGGAGCACAGAAAGGGACTTTCACACAGGAGCTGCTTCAAGCCCAGTGCCCTTCCGCTCTACCCTGCCCTTACCTGTTGGAGCATTTCTTCAGCAGCATTGAAGTTTCACCTGGTGTCCTTCCAGACACACTTCTAGGTCCCGAATCTTCTCTCCTTGGGCTTCCACTTGGTCTGTGAGGACACTCACCTGTTTCAGGAAACAAAACAATGGAGGAACGGGGAAAGTGTTTGAGGCAGAAAGGCTCCCACAATAGGTGAGCAATGGAAGCACATCACTGGCTCGCATGCCAAGGACGTGCTTTCTTTTAGGTAAGTGGAGGGTGGGGAAGTGTCCTGGATGAAGGCAACTCCTGTTAGATTGTCACCTTACCAAGAAGCCTCTTCCACTGCCTGAATGTCGTTGCTCACATTTCCTGCTCTTGACAGACTCAAGAGGAAAGCAGCCAATAGCCACAAGAGCTGCCTCTGGGCTGGACTCCTGCTCCTTACTCCTCTAATAGGGCAGCCCAACCTCAAGGCATATCTCAGCTGGCTTGCCAGAACTTCTGTCACCTCATGTGAAAGAGCTATCCAAACCTCTATGGAACTAACCAATGACCTTACCTCTCTCATAAGGGTGTGAGGACTGCTCACCTATCAGGCAAGTGTTTTGAAGCAATTAAGGAATGTGAGACATAAAGGGCATGTATTAGCACTGACAAAACTTGGCTCCAGAGGGGTTTTGTGCTTCACAGGCCAAAACATGACTCTAAGTCATATACATACAGAAGCCACAGTGCACATACGTGACAGGAAAAATAAGTCATTGTTCTGTGGAACTCTGAGACTCTCTATTGGATGTATTAACTACTAAAAACCCATTTATAATAAGTGATTTAAATTATGTCCTAAATACATACCAAGAGGGCTTTCATATTCTTCTCTATTAGTAAACCACTCCAGAGGATCCTTTTAGGTTTTGTTTAATAAAATATACCTCAAAGCAGGAAAATGAAGGAAGTGAATGCCTGGGCTCCCAAAAATAAAGAATCAACAGTTGGTAAATTGAGATCCTTTCATTTAGAGACATGGCTGATGACATACAGATTATCCTCAACTATTGCTCATTCTGTAATGGAATGACAGATGGAGCCTTAAAGAGTTAATGTTAATTTGTTTATGAGTGTTTAAATAAATTTTATTAAGTGATAAAGTTGTTATTTAAAAAGGATTGAAACTAAATTAACCTGGCTACTTGAAGCATTCTGTTTTTATGTTCCTAAATGATGAGTGAATTATCCATGAAACTGAAGTGTGCTAACATTTCAATTCAAATCCAAAAATTCTTCTGTCAATTTAGGCCCATTTTAAACAACAAATCTTTCTGTGTTTTTCTTTGTGTTTAGTCTTTGTTGTTCAATACTATCAGTGGCCCTGACCTTTTCAACTGGTAACTGCACTATCAAAAGAGCAGGATTTGGGGTGTGATGCTGCCTCCAGGAATCCAGAGTTTCTATTTGAAAAGATGTTTTATGGTTAACCCCATTATGAGGATTAAAAACTATATATGGCTGCACCATACCATGGGTCTATGTGCTTGTCCACATAGGGGATTGAGGAATAATTTGCAGTTTCTAGTATTCCATAGCTTATAGTTGTGCATAAAACTAAAGACAACAGGGCTGCAGGGTCCTCAATGTTAACTCTAAGTATTAAAAAAGGAGAGGTGTAGGGTGGTTCAATATACACAAATCTATAAATGTAACAGAGCACATTAATAGAAGCAAAGACAAAAACCACTTGATCATCTCAATAGATGTAGAAAAAGCCTTCAACAAGATCCAACAATAAAAGTTCTAAGAAAACTAGGAATAGAAGGAAAGTACCTCAACATTGCAAAGGCTATATATGACAAACCTACAGCCAACATCATACTTAATGGTGAAAACTGAAACCATTTCCCCTAAAATCAGGAATGAGACAAGGGTGCCCACTATCCCCACTCCTATTCAACATAGTACTGGAATTCCTAGCCAGAGCAATTAGACAAGAAGAAGAAATAAAAGGAATACAAATAGGTAAAGAAACTGTCAAAATATTCCTGTTTGCAGACAATATGATCCTATATGTTAAAGACCCAAAAAACTCTACCCCAAAACTCCTAGACACCCTAAACAGCTATAGCAAGGTGGCAGGATACAAAATCAACTTACAAAAATCATTAGCTTTTCTATACACCAATAACGAACAAACTGAGAAAGAATATATGGAAACAATTCCATTTACAATAGCCTCAAAAAAAAAATCAAATACCTAGGAGTAAACTTAACAAAGGATGTGAATGACCTCTACAAGGAGAACTACAAACCTCTGAAGAAAGAGATTCAGGAAAACTACAGAAGGTGGAGAGATCTCCTGTGTTCATGGATTAGTACCGTCAACATAATAAAAATAGCCACACTACCAAAAGTAATCTACATGTTTAATGCAATTCCCATCAAAATCCCAATGACATTCATGACAGAGATTGAAAAATCTACCCTAAAGTTCATTTGGAAACACAAGAGACTGCAAATAGCCAAGGCAATATTCAGCAAAAAGAGCAATGCTAGAGGTATCACAATACCCAACTTCAAACTAATTACAAAGCAATAGCAATAAAAACAGCATGGTACTGACACGAAAACAGACATGAAGACTAGTGGAACAGAATAGAGGACCCAGATATGAATCCACACAGCTCTTCCGACCTTATTTTTGACAAAGGTTCCAAAAATATATGATGGAAAAAAGACAGCCTCTTCAACAAATGTTGCTGGGAAAAGTGGTTATCCATCTGCAAGAAACTGAAACTAGATCCATGTTTATCACCCTGTACTAGTTTCAACTCAAAATGGATCAAGGACCTTAATATCAGACCTGAAACCCTGAAGTTAGTACAGGAAAGAGCAGGGAATACTCTGGAAGCAATAGGTATAGGTGAGGACTTCCTCAATAGAACCCCAGCAGATCAGCAACTAAGAGAAAGGATGGACTAATGGGATGCAATGAAATTAAAAAGCTTCTGCACAACAAAAGAAATGGTCTCTAAACTGAAGAGAACACCCACAGAGTGGGAGAAAATATTTGCCAGCTATACATCAGACAAAGGATTGATAACCAGAATATACAGGGAATTTAAAAAACTAAACTCTCCCAAAAATCAATGAACCAATAAAGAAATGGGCAACTGAACTAAACAGAACTTTTCAAAAGAAGAAATTCAAATGGCCAAAAAACACATGAAAAAATGCTCACCATCTGTAGCCATGTAGGAAATGGCAAACCAAAATCACACTAAGATTCCACCTCACCCCCGTTAGAATAGCCATCATCAAAAACACCACTAACAACTGATGTTGGCAAGGATGTGGGGAAAAAGGAACCCTCGGACACTGCTGGTGGGAATGCAAGCTAGTGCAACCACTCTGGAAAAAAATATGGAGGCTTCTTAAAAATCTAAACATAGATCTACCATATGATCCAACAATCCCACTCCTGGGGATATACCCAAAGGAATGTGACACAGGTTACTCCAAAGGCACCTGCACACCCATGTTTATTGCAGTGCTATTCACAATAGCCAAGTTATGGAAACAGCCAAGATGCCCCACTACTGATGAATGGATTAAGAAAATGTGGTATTTATACACAATGGAATTTTACTCAGCCATGAAGAAGAATGAAATCTTATTATTCTCAAGTAAATGGATGGAACTGGAGAACATCATTCTGATTGAGGTTAGCCAGGCTCCGAAGACCAAAAAATCGTTTTGTTCTCCTTCATATGTGGACTTTAGATCTAGGGCAAATGCAGCAATGTTGTAGGACTTGGGTCACATGCTAAGGGGAGAGCACATACAGGAGTTTTGGGAATAGGTAGGAAACCCAAAAATGAAAGCGTTTGATGTCCCCACTGCAGAATAACTAATACAGAAACCTTAAATGACAGAGGTCAATATGGGAAGGGGATTAGGAACTAGTGAAAAGGTCAGTTAGAGATGAATCAACTTGAGTTGTAACACATTTGTACATGGAAGCAATGCTAGGAATCTCTCTGTGCAGCTGTCCTTGTCTCAACTAGCAAAACACTTTATCTTTCTTATTATTGCTTATGTCTTCTCTTCAACAAAATTAGAGATAAGGGCAGAACAGGTTCTGCCCGGAAGTGAGGGAGGGTGGGGGAGAGAAGAAGGGGGCAGGGGACGGGGACGGGGGGAGAAATGGCCCAAACAATATATGCACATATGAATAAATGAATAAAAAAATTTTTAAAAAAAAGGAGAGGTGTAGAAAATTAGGATGAAATGATAAAGATCCTACAATATGACCTCTGTTCTCTAGAACCAAACTTTTCTTTTGAGCCCTTACTACATATTAGGCATAATTTTAGGTATTGGAGGATACAAAAATGGGGGGGGGGTGATGAAACTCCTTGCTTTAAAGGAATACATTATAATGAAGATATAAAATATTTTGTTTTTAGTTAATCCTGGAAACAAAGTATTTTGTTATGTATGGTTGGTCTTGTTCTTCTACAAATACACCCAAGAAAACATAAAATTCAGTCAGGCTAAGCTGTCGTGTGGATTGAGCAAGAAGCTGTGCTTTGCAGAGGATCTGCCTAACCAGCTCCACAAGCCACTATGGAATAGGAGCAGAGGTGAACATAGAAGAGCTGTCCTGAGAATTTGTCAATATACTCCTGGCAGAACAAAAATCATTAGGGTTAGGCTGTTGGTGTGGCTCAAATGATAGAGTGCCTGCCTAACAAGGCTCTGAGTTCAAATCCTGGTACCACCCTCCTCATCCCAAGGAACTACTAGGGTCAACTTCTGACTTTACTGGTAAATAGCTTTCTAATTGTGTTAGGTTTATTTAAATAGGGATTTTTCAAGAATTTGGACTTTTTTATTTTTTAAAAAAACCAAGTGAATGTGAAACAGAGCATTATTAAATTGTAATCCCCTCTAAATAGGAATGTTATTTCAATCATAAAGGGTCCTGGTTCAAAAGTCTACAATTTCATACTGCTTGCTACAAAATTCTAAGTTGGATACTCTTTCATCAATCTTGTCATTAGCATGGAGTTTCAAATTACACAGCCCTCAAAACATCTGGGCTATAAAATCTGCCCTGCTAATTCTCTCAAGGTGGCTTCTACCCCATTCTTCATGGCAGTCAATCCAGCCACAATGACCCCTTGCTGTTCTTCCCTCACATTAAGCATACTCCTGTCTTGGTATGTGGGCTGGATTGACCACCTCCTCTGCCTAGAATGTACTTCTCCAGGTTATCTGCATGGTTCCCTTCCTTGCTTCTTCTAGTCAGACCTTCCCTGACTACACAGTTCTTATTTTTATATGGTTTTTTTTTCCCCATAGCACATAACAATATCCAAAACATTTTAGGTATTGGTGTATTTATATTCTCTTTCTCTCTCTCTCTCTCTCTCTCTCTCTCTCTCACCTTTTCCTCCTTCCTCCCTCCCACCTCCTTTTCTTTCCTTCTCTTTTTTTCCTCCCTGTCTATCATTCTAGGGACTTAATTTGCTTTGTCACTGCTATGTCCCTGGCATCTAAAACTGGTGTCTGACAGACAAGTGGTATATATTCAATTATTTTATGACTTAAAAATCAATGAAGTGAAGGAAAGAACAAAACTAGGATACAATATTGTATATTTGGTAGGATCTCAATTATTTAAAAGAGGCAGGGCAGGGGAAAAAACACTGGGAAAAAGGACAAATGTTAATCGGCTTTAAATTCTTTTACAATTTCTAGTTTCTAAAATTGTTGATTAATCTTATGTTCATAAAATAAAATGAAAAAAAGTAAGGCAAAAAAATTAACACACTGCCACATGACGATTTTAGTTCTCTACACTAAAGTCCATACCCTGGGGTAGGTACCAAGTCCTACCTACTCCCTCTTCTGTTCTACCACCAGTCATACACATCACCCTTCAAGCTTTTTAAGAAGCTGAGATTAGGATAGTAATATTCTCCAAATCACCAATAAATATCTTAAGCAATCCAGGCCTTTAGCACATGCTTGCTAAATCCACTTATGTACTTAAGAATAACAGCAAAGGCTTCTTGCATGCCTAACTTTATGTTCTACTAAGTAATGCAGGTCTTCAGAAATGAAAAAGTTTTCTCTGGTTCTCTTTCTCCTTGAGAAATTTTGGAATTCCTCCCTTGGAAGCAGGAGTGCCATCAAAGACTTAGCCCATGTTACTAGCTCCAGGGCATTTGGCATCGAAGTGCTCAGTGTGTAAATCCAGCTTTAGACGCTTGGACTTGATTCCATTAGTGCTCACCCTTAGGCCTATATTGCACATGAGTCTGTTTTATTAGTGATGTATCTCATCTCCCTTCCAAGACTTATGGGCTCCTGAAGGACAGGGCCCGTTTTGTTCATCCTTAGCACCTGGCATCAGCCTGCCACAGGGCTTCCAGTGTGTAGAGGCAGGTACTTTGTAGTGCATGATGAGTGAACTCACAGCCCCCCAAAGTCAAGTCCAAAGTTAAACTGTGCCCCAGTTACCTTCTGGTTTGTTCTAGGAAAACCCTGTTTTAAACAGAAACATTTACTTTGCAAGCAGGAAACTTCCAACAGAGAAAACCCCAGTGCTTCTTGTTCAGTTGGGGAAGTTACAGAGCTAGAAGTAAGCGGGTAAGCTGGTTTTCATCCAAAAGAACCTACCTGTAATATGAGGGACTCTTTATCTCCTTCTAGACGGGCCAGGCGTTCCTGGTAGGTTTCGTTACTAGCAGCACCGTGGTGATTTCCCTTGGACTAAATAGGGGGGAAAGAATACACTTAAAAAGATGAAAAAACACTACCAATTTCTAAATGGATTATGCAATGTATACAATTTGAATCACTGATTCAATGTGCAAAACCACTGACCAAAATAGGAACCACAAACAACTACCAGGAGTACCAAACCACATGCCATTAAAAGGTGTGCCTTGGAAGGTGTTGCAACCACCTCTGGTGACCTCACCCTTGGCCTCGAGGGCCTCCACAGAGTTCCAGTTCAGCAGTGCTTGACTTGATGGGACGTGCTGGGTCTGGTTCAGTTGGAGGCTGAGCCTGCCAGAGGCACAGCAACAGTGAGGGTCTGCTCTTTGAAGAGACTAGAGAGAGCTGGTACCACTAATAAGTAGCTATGCAGAAACAAATGGGGCACAGATCTTGGTACCTCATAACTTTCACATCAAGCTTCTCTCTATAGAGCACACCCCCCAGCACAGAGGCCCATCTTGAACATCACAGTAGTGTGGAGAATCCAGGATGCCAACTGCACATCCCTTCCCACCCCAAACCCACTGCTAGCAAGGACTTTGGCAGCCAGGCTGCTGCATCATGTTTCAGAAATACTACAGTTGAGAGAAGTAAGCTACAATGAATCATCCTGAGAAGAAGCTAAGTAACAGCCAGGGGAATCCTAAAGAGCTAAGCAGAGAGAAAACAGGGAATGCAAAGTAGCTAGAAAGTACAGAAAACAAAAGAAAGAAAAAATGTGAACAGGCAGAGGAGGGACAGATGTTATAAAATACCATGAGGTATACAGAAGAGCTGTAACTTTCTAGGGTGTGTCTGACCTGGTTTTGGGCAGGGAGGAGGGTAGGAGCTAATAATGGCACTCAGCTGACCCCAATACTACCATGTCAAATGGAAGGCAGAAACCAGGAACCCAAACAGGCCACCCAGAGGACAGCAATCTGAAAAAGTAGTCACAATTGTGGAAAAGGGCACATCAGGGAGGCCCAGGTTAGCCCACCTTATCCTCAGCTCATTTCCCTACATTTCAATTTTGATATGGGTGATCCATTTTTTCTCTATGAGAAAGGGAATCTCCTTCCTCCTTATTCCATCCCTTCTCAATGCACTGCCATGGTGAGGGCAAGTGTCAGACTCACTCTCAGTCCTGAAACTGAAAATAGAGACAAAGCATTCCACATTTAAGCTGTAGAGGCTCACCAGTGAGGGAAGCACTGACTGTTGAAGGGATAGTGAAAGACTGAGCCTGGGGGCATTTCCCAGAGTGGCTATATCAGGCACAGTCTACATGGTGCACAGTGCCTGCTGCCACCTCACTGCCTTTACTCCAGCCTTCCCCAACCCTGCATTCTGTTCATTGTTATGGAAGCTCTTTCATGCCATAGACAAAGGGCTTTTACGGTTATGAATGACTTCTTTGTGAACAGCAATTTATTGTTGCTACATTATTATTCCAGGAATATTCCACTTCTCTAACTAGCATCTGAGAAACTATATAACCTACATTTTCTCAGAACCTGACAAGAAAAGATAGGAAAACAATTCTCAACAGCCGGCCAAATTCTCCTGCTAATGGACTCACAATGGTAATTTTCAGTTGGCAGAAATAGAAAAGAACCCAGACATCTAAGTTACATTTTGCACATCAGACCCCAGGGCCAAAGTCACCATGCACATGGGGCCACTCAGCATTGGCAGAGTAACTTGTCCAGCAGGAAGTAGAAGAGAGAAGGTCAAAGTGATTGTAGATCCTATCACAAGACTCTAGCAAGTCCCCACACCCACTATGCTATATTCAAATCATATGAAATATGTCCCTGTAGTTAATGCTTAAATTTTTATATTGTCTTGTCATCTATTTTTAAATATAAATTGAATTTGCTCACAACAGAAGCAAAGTTCAGTTACCTTGACGCAGTTTCTAATGCTATACCCCAGAATGATACCTTCTAGAGATGAGAGAGCTCAAAAGCATCAATCCGTTCCCACCATTTTCTTTCAAAGGACCATCCAGACACTTGTCCCAAAACTTAAGGTGACCACCTCTTAGTCTGGACATAACACATGCTTTTAAAAAATGTACCAACTAAAGGTTGACACAGGAAACCAGTTTGGGCCCCAGTTTGGGGTCCAGTAAAGGTGTTGGTTAACTTTCTATCTGCTGTGCTCCCTGACCTCTATGTGTGTCCTCTACATGTGCCATGTACCCTCCAGGATCCATATATACTAAAAGCTCTTAAACTTTCACTTTGAGTTTATTATTGAAGCCCTACCAGCAATCTGACTCCTGCTGGTAAGGCACCCTAGTAGCCCCATGCAAGTGGCTCTCCTGCAGGCAATCTTTTGTCTGGGTCTCTTGTAGCTGCTTGGGGACAAGTAGCTACCAGCTGTATTGATAATGAACTCATACAAATCAGTTCCTCATTATAATAAAAGGGCTACCCATATAATCATCCAGAGGGGCAGTCATTTGTACTAATTAACCAAAAAATAAGGGTAAGAAAGTAAGTTAGAGTCCTAAGTTCAGTTAATACACATTGTGTGCCACAGCGTTCATAACACATGCTAGAAGTTGATCAAGAATCTGGAACTTTTCTAGCAGTCAACAGAAGAGAATCACAGTCAGTTAAAAGATGCACAGATCAACAGGGTGTGGTGGTGCATACCAGCAATCCTAGTACTTGCAAAACTGAGAAAGGAGGATTGGTCATGAGTTCTCTCTAAGCCTGTGCTACATATACAGAGAGACCCTCTCTCAACACCTGGCCACACAGACCCTCAAAAAAACATGCACAGACCAGTAAGTACCAGAAAATCAAACTGACCACTAGAAGAGCCATAACTACTCCTGGGCAAGAGAGAGAAACTGCTCTTGTTTTCATACAGACTTTGTGTGTGTAATGGGTTAAACAACAACCATGACGACACCATTACAGTAAAGAGCACAGTAAAATGCATTGCTTTTGTGTGGTGCTTGCAAAATAGGTTAAAGGTTAACGGATAATATGGGACAAAGTCCAATATAAGACCAGTACAATATGGTCCAAGCACAGTGCCTTAATATACTGCAAGTATTTATATAGCACTCACAGCACTGTTCGGAGGAGAGCATTTTACTATTCATTAATTCATTTAATCCTTCCCATGATCTCATGAAATGAATATTATCTTTATTCCCATTTTACAGATAAAGTAAAACACAAAGTATCTTAAGACACAAATGGATAGTGTGCCCAAGTTACTATGTAATAAATTAGTATGCTTTCTGTTGTTATACCTTGAGGGGACAGATCAATATAAATTTTGCTTTATATGTTAGGATTGTATGATTAGTCACTTAAGGTTGGAAGATGTCTTTAATAGGGAGTTGATAATAAGTGATGGTTTGCCTGTAACATGGAAAATTTGTAGCATTTTAAAACATGTAATAAACATTTGTGGGCATCATAGAAATATGACTTTGGATAGTGAAAAAGCAAGATACAAAAGAATGATATGGTATGATACTAGAAAGCAATATAACTCCATAATTATTTAAATATATGTGAAAAATAAATAGAAAAATTAGATTACCTTTTTATTATCATATTATTGTTGTATTGGGGGTACATTATAACAGTTACAAAACTTCTCACAATGTATCATAGTCAAATTATATATCATAGTTAAGGCTCCCTCCATCATTCTCCATTATCTCTCCTACCCCACTCCTGGAATCATTTCAATAGATCTCATTTTCCTATATTTATACATGAGTACATAATAGTTCTACCATATTCATCCTCTTTATATCCTCTCCCCTCCCACTGGTACCAAACCCCCAGTACAGGACCTATTTTACCTTCCTGTTCTCTGTTTTTGAAAAACAAATTGTTTAAGATAGTTACAGGGAGTTTCATTGTAACTTTTCCATGTATATATGCCTTATAACCGAATTGGTTCATCCCTTCTATTTTTCTCTTTTCTACTTTAGTCCCCTTGTTATGGTGATTTCAACAGGTTTAAAAATTCTGTATTCATTCTTGTATAGAAAGTACATCAACCATATTTGTAGAAGGTTACCTTTCAACAGTACTCCCTTTTGGGGAGAGATATGGGGTGGGAAGTATGGTCAAAGCAGACTTTAACCACAATATCTGAGTATCTTACAAAAACATATTTTCTTGAATATGAGTATTTAAAACACATTTTATAATTAGAAGCACCATTTGAGGACCTAGAACAGTGGTTCCTGGTACTCTGCCGTCCCAACAGATGAGAGGTTAATCCTCTCCCAGTGGTCACACAAGCCCTGGGGCAGTGGCACACATGACAGAGAGGACTCTGCTCCCTATAAATCACTGTCTTAGAGAAACAGTACCTTCTTCTCAGCCAGGCCCTCCAGAATCAATGCTGTTCTATAGCAAGTTTTTGAATGGTATTAAACTGCAATGAAATCAGGATATGTTCCAGACAAACGTCTGCAGTATTGCTATCCTTGGCTTTTGGTAAGTCTAGAGCCATGTTCTAACTTTCTAGATAAAGATGTGAATCTTAAGAAAACTGCAGCCCCTCAGAAGGGCACAGAACAGGACAAATACCTGGCCAAGAACCCGGAAAATGCCTGAGAATAGGGACAAGAATTTTAGAATAATCTTGAATGTCAATATTCATCAATCAAAGGTAAAAATTTGGGTGAATAAATGTATACTCCTCAGTCTACTAGTTGGTCAACAGGTTTAATCATTTTCTGATGTCATTCTTACATCATAAAACAGCTGCATCACCAGAGCATAAAAAGCTACATAATTTCAAAATGTGATTCTAATTTGTTGAGAGACAGAGTTAGGACATAGCTCTGTTTTGTTTTACTTTAAAAGAGTTTTCCTTGGTCAGCGCTTTGCTTAATTCTCATGGTAGAACTGCAATAGAAGACTCAAATCAACACTAAGATCACACACCTGGGTCCTTGAGTGACTCCAGGTTTGGGAAGTCTCTGGAAATTCTTATCTATATGCTCTAATAGGTAA